AGTCGTGAAAATACGGTACCCTGAACAAGTTGAAGGAAAGTACTTATTGAAACCATTAACTAGGTTGATATATGATTACTCTTTTTTGGTACTGAAGTTCATTTAAACTGATCCCTACCTTAGTTTAAGGTGATCCATCATATTTTCAGTTTGATTGAGGTTGCAGACTTTACAGAGGCTTGAAATTAGTTTGATTCATGCATTCCTTGTGTGTTTAGGATAATCAATGATTAAACAGTCCTTGTTGCTAGAGTTCACCTTTGGATGAAGCCATAAATAAGATGGAAAACCCAATATAGCAGCAATAACTATTAGGCACGATTAACAACAAAAACAGTTATGCTGGGTTCACACTGGATAGTTCTTCATGACTGTGATCCTACTTAAATATTCTGCATTTTTTCGAATTTAAAGTTTGTAATTTTATACTTCACTCATTTGTATACTTGAAAAAACTATTTTTTTTTTGAAAACCACAAAATAAATGTATAGAAAGTAAAGAAATATAGGTAATTTATAACTATTTATTTATTAATCAATTATTGAAATAATCGTCATAATAATAAGCCTTGCTATCACTATGAGCGGAATTTGTAAAGCTGTGAGCTCAATAATGTTCACATGGTATTCTGAGGGCTACATGTCTTATGCTTCTTAGCATCCAATATTTTTTGCGCTCTATGACACTTGGTCTTACCCTCTTTCTTTTTGCATTTCATTGTGCTTCAATCAAGCTTTATCTTTATGACTCAGCAAGCTCCATTGATTCTTACTTGCTCATTGCACTCATCCACATCACTGTTCCCCTATCGTACCTCTGATCAAATGGCTTTGTGTAAATATACACAAAAACACTTTTTTACCAACAAATAGAGGAAAAAAGTGTAAAACTGAAATGAAATACAATTATCCAATAGACCATAATAATTTGAATACGTTATTATAAAACATATTTCCCAATATTTAGTCTATGAATCATGAAATTAAAAAAATCTGCTACTGGTATTTTAGGGTTAAAGATGTGTTTTATTATTGATGAAGATTGTCCTAAACTAATTAAAGGATTTTGAGTAACAAAATAATTTTAAAGTA